ACCACCACCACAACCACCACTGCCACTACCACTACCACTACCACTACCGCTACCACACACTACCACTACCACCACCACTACCACTACCACTACCACTACCACTACCACTACCAGTGAGACAAAAGGAAAACAGCACGCAGTGGAAATCGAAATGTTTGTTACGCCCTCGTCTTCCATCCTTCGAAGCTTTCGGCACACCTTTTTCACAAGCACTCCTTCGAGTGGTCTTCTTCACTTTGGCGCTTGCGTGTAACTTCTTGTTGGGCATGCACTACTGCTACCACCACGACGACGACGACTACTACTACTACTACTACTACTACTACTACTAACACTACTGACACTACTAACACTACTAACACCACTACTACTACTGCTGCTGCTGCTGCTGCTGCTGCTGCTACTACTACTACTACTACTACTACTGCTACTACTACTTCTACTACTACTACTACTACTACTACTACCAGCTACTAACACTACTACGAACTACTAACTACCAGCTACTAGCTACTAGCTACTAGCTACTCACTACTAACTCCTCACTACTCACTACTTACTACTCACTACTTCCTACTTACTAACTACTAAGTACTAACTACTTACTGCTTACTGCTATTGCTACTGCTACTGCTATTGCTACTACTACTGCTATTGCTACTGCTGCTACTACTACTACTACTACTACTACTACTACTTCTGCCGCTGCTGCTGCTGCTGCTGCTGCTACTACTACTACTAAAGACTGCGACTACGACCACGACTACTGCAGCGACTGCCACTGCTACAAAGGGATAATTGGCCCTTTCTCTCCTCCCTCTCCTTCAACTTCTCACTGTAGGTGCCCTGGGCCCCCTCTGCCTGGGGTTGGCGGCCTTCCGGTTGCGCACGTACTCCTTCATTTTGTTGGCCACCTGCCACCTGCAGCCCGGCTCCGGGAGCGCTTTAGCGGCGTCGAAGTCAGAGCCGAGGAGCTGCCATCCACAGCAGCCATCGCAGCCGCCGGCGCAGCCTCCATTGTCGCCGATCACCAGATAGTAATTGTCGGAGAGCTCTCCATCGTTGCCTCCGATGACACACGAGGGACTTGAACTTGGACTCGGCGAAACTGCTCCAAGAGATTCAGTTGCCGTTTTGCGCTTCTGGGGGTCACCTTCACAGACCATGGCCCATGCTAGGCCAGGCACTGCCAGCCGGCTGTATGCGCCCTTAGCGCTGTCGCTACCCCTGAAAGAGTTTCAGCGGAGCTGGGGCTGTCCACCATACGCCAAAAAAGCCTGCCCAAGAAAGGCCAAAAAACCTGACTGAATTGATCGTGGAAGCCGCAGCCTGGCAAAGCTATCTGGCCCCCGGAATCCCCCTTTGCTACTTGCAGAAGCCGCAGAGAACACAAACTTGTCCAAAGAGCCAAACGCTCAAAATCTCTGAGACGCGAAGGCGTGCCTCGGACGCCCCTAGCACTGGCCGCGATGTCCAAATAGTCCGGGGTGGTGTCGAAGTGGGGGTGGTACTCCCCCATCCAGCACTTGTTGAAGCACCTGGCTTTTCGCCACTCTAGGGCCTTTGTTGGTGCCTTTCCCTTGGGGCTGCTCGGCCCCTGACCTGAATTCAGAGAGTGAACTATGAAATCTGCCAGCCAAGGCAAACCCTCGCACCAGGCCTGTGCGACCACTGGCCATCCCTGAGAGACGCAGGGCTCGGGCACGGCACAGCCTACAGTGCCTACAGTTTGACGGGTCACGGCGCTGAGATACGGAACTCTCATGGCTACGTTACCACTGCAAAAACATGCCGCCTGCTGCGTAGTCCTGCATTGACACCAGCAGGGCACGACAGACCTTTCATTCCTCCTTCAAACCTGCAAGCGAGCGGCATGTTCCAGTCCTCAGCGCATGGGTCCCCGGGACAGGACATGAAAGCATGGTCCAAACGAACAAAGAAAAACAATTTTGTAGGAGAGCTTTGCTAATCGGAGGACCGCGGGTCTCCTGAGCATTCCTCGAGGCCGCCGCAGCAGGGAACATGTCGTCCAGCTGAGGTCACGGCTCAGGGGCTTCAGGCGGCTCGCGGGGGGGGGAGGGGGGGGGGAGCGATTCTGCGAGGAGGGAACCTGACCTGCTGAAACTCCATCCTGCGGGGCGGGTTTTTAAGAAAAAAATCTGATGCGTTCACACAGAAAACCTGTGAGGCCTCGAAACCGGGAAAAGCCAGGAAGCCCCCTCTGACGCTGGGTCGGGCCAGGCCGCTCTGGTAGACGTTGTCGCCCTTCTGCGTGCAGCTGGCTGGACCTCGAGGCTTGTGTCCTAACCACTGGGAATGAAAAGGGAAGCCGGCAAGTGCTGCAATGTGCTGGTGCTGCCTAGCGACACTGTTCGAAGCAGCGGTAGCTGAAGGCTTCACTGCTGCCATACTGACCCATGCACATCTCCAGCCCGGAGCAGCATTCCACCTGGCTCAGGGGCTAAGGCAGAGCCCAGGGCCAGAAGCCTGGAACCGGAGTCAAGAAGCCCCTGGAGGAGCGAGGCGTTCTACACATGAAAAAATATGCACACTTCCATGATACTTCTGTACACGTTTGTGCTTCGTGTCTGTATGACTGTAGTTGGCTATATGCTGGGCTTCATTGGCCCTGCTGAAATATTGCAATTTTGAATGCTGGTGTTTACTGATCTGTGTAGTCTGTGTAGCCGAGTCTTCTTATTCTGTCTTGCCTGTTGCTTGTCTGCTGCTTTCACGCATTTCGGTTTACATTGACATACTTCCAAAACCCAAACCAAAGCCACAGCCCTCGATACAACGCCGACCCGGACCCCATTTGCGTAGATGCTTTGAGAACGCACACTGGGAAGTCACGGGAGCGACTTAGCATGAAGTCTTCAGAGCTATTTGGAGACTCCGTGCGGGCACTGCACCAGGCTGGAGGTCTGGAAAGGATCCTGGCCCTTCGGCGTGCAAGGAGTGCTGCCCACGCCACCTGATCAGTTAGGATGCAGTGCATGCAGTGCATGCAGTGCGACATGCGGACAGTTGCATGAAAAGCCTTTCCTCTTCCAAACTCCACCCCCGGCTGCCAAGAAGCATGAGGACTCGCAGCGGTAGCTTGGTCCGTTCTGGTGCTCGCCGAAACACAGGTCCAAGCCCGCACAGCAGTCCACCTACAGTAACTCAACCAGTCAGTCAAAGGCTCTCACGTGGGGGCGAGGGCTGATGATCGAAGAAGCACAATCAAGAGAAAAGCTTGGATCACCACTTTACAGTGGTAAGGCAAGTTAGGTGCTAGTACAAACCATGGACAAGAACTACTGTGGATAATTCCATGGAAACAACCGACCAATAGACCCTTAATCAAGATTCAAAGCCACTCGCTGGCCACTTGCCCAAGGATCCTGTCCGTTTGCGGTGCACCTCGGAGGGTAGTAGAGCTAGGAGAAGCAGGTTGGCCTGCGGCCTAGGGTTACATGAATCCAAAGTTGAAAACAAAAAGCAACCCAACGACAGCTGTTCGTCCAAAGCAAACTGAGTCCGAGGATCCAAGACTTACCTTGATGATGGAGCTGAAGCAAGCTCGGTTCTGCGTCCTGAAGCTCTGCGAATCCGACACAAAACCTACAGGCCACGAGTCAAGGCATTTCGTGTGACGAATGCGCCGATCACAATCATCGCTAGTCAGGTATCATAGACCTGCCGGAACCCTGTCAGACCTCGTGCGCATTGCTCTTGACAAGCAACTCCAGCCAAGGGCGTGGCCCCAACCTAAACATCCACCCATGTCCGATACCCCTGCAGACACCAGGTATCACTAGGTCAGTAAATGATCCAAGCACACGATCAGACAGGATCATCTCATCAACATGTCCTCGTGCGTCTGGCCGTCTGTCCGTTTCGCTCTATCTCTCCCTCTCTCTCTCTCTCCCCTTTGCTTTTTGGGTGTCGGCCAAAGTGTTGCTGGTGCGAAAATATTCATCTGGGGATCGTCGTACAGGTGGGGATGGGAGTGATGTCTCTTGAGTCTTTGCAAGATGCCACGCAGTCTGTCCCATGTCCTTCGCATCTCGTACAGCATCTGGACATTCTCCAGCAGTGCACGAAGCCAACACCCCTCTCGCCCCAGTTAGGACCTGAAGCCATGGAGGTAAAACTCGGACTTGCTTCCGTCTCCCCGCTGCAGTTACCCAATATCCTGCACCGTATACACATTTGCCTCAGTCCATGCTTGCCGGCCAGCACCACCATGTGAGAACGACAAGCCCGATGAAATCTACAACCCCAACCAACATGGGGACGTCTCGGACACCCCAACTGGTACATGCTTCTCACCTGCGCAAATTAGAACCGCCCAGATGCCAGGGATAATCGCGACAAAAGCCGCATGTTTTAACCTCAGTCAAGCTCGGAATTTCCCGTTTGCTTCCCAAAGAACATGGAGCTCTGCTTGGCAAAAACCGCATGCCAACATGCGAGATGCGATGTTTGCACATGCTGTAGCAGGAATGTCTGGGCACTTTCAGCCACAAACCTTCAAGTCTGGCGGCGCTTTTGGCAAAACTGCTCGGCCATGACCGAGCAAAGGAAGGCAGTGCTGCGAACCCAAAACCGAGTATCAAAACACATCTTCGTGCACTTTCATTCACTCTTGCAATGCGACTCTTGCAAGGACACCGACTCAAGCTGAAAATCACAAAAACTCGTTGAACTGAACGTTCCGCGGCATCGCGAATCTGGAATCCTAGGGCAGGCTGTAGACTGCCATCACAAGCGAAGTTTCCTGAGGGTCCAAACAACAGTCTTCGAAAGCTTCGAAACGCTTGACATGGCGACTTCAAGTAGCAAGACATGTGCTCGGTTCTAAGCAGATGCTGAACTGCCTTGCAATTTGTACATCATCGAAAAGACTGCGAAGTTCGTAGTGTTAGGGGCTGGCATGGTTTATGGCAAACAAAGCATTGCTTTCTACATCAATCGATTCGATGTTGACACTCCCATGGAATAAAGGCACCGCGCCGCGAAGCACTGACCGTGAGCTTTGACATTTTGAAATGCCTGTTGTTTGTTTGGTGCAACTTTGAAAAAAGCGAATGCCATCAGTCTCAGTTCTCTACGCGACATTCTCCAAACAAGTCAAAGTCCTTCACCATGCCCCCAAGTGAGCATCCAAGCGAGGCTGGATCTGGTGGTGGGTGCACACGGTTCAAAACCCAAGGTAACAAGAAACGCCAACGAAACCGTCGCCACGGCTATGGCCAGCGCCACACTGAGAAACTAAAATAAAATCCGACTAAAATTCCGAATGATGGCACTGTTGAAAAGTATGCTTGAAGACGCTTGCGGAAAATGTGCGAGTCAGATGCAAAACACATGGTTGCCTTCACATCCAAGACAATAAATTCCATGACATAATCGGTCCTAGAAGGGCAAAATCTTCAACAACGCCTACGAAACTTTTTAAAAGTTCGCGGAATGAAGAGTCGTCTTTCGGAGGATCTGCCCGCCCTCTGTTCAACCAGTTTGACCTAATTCATTATGCAATCAGAAAGAACCACGAACTTGTTGACGTTGTTTCAGAAGGTGAGACTCACCAAGCATCAGCGCGTGCGAAAAGGTGAATGAACGGGCGACCTTCAACCTCCTGCTGATGTCTCAAAGCAACTGCTTTGCGATACGACGTTTGTTACAATCTCAAGAAAATAGAAATTCTGCTCCAAGAAGATTTCTTAAAGAAGAACATGGCAGCAAACCAATGGTAAGACCGCCTGTTACTCTCCGTCCCACTTCTGGTAATTCCAATTGCCCACCGAGTTCAACTATCGATTGTCTCTGCTGAAGAGAACCCAGAAGGGCTTGAACAACGTGTGAAGAAGATGGCTCTGACCGGAATGTTAAACTTCGTCTTCATTCTTCCCAGTACTTTTCGGCTGTCTGGTGCAGAAGAGTCACAGATTCTGGCTTCATGGCTTCAGGTACCGAAAAAGCCCGAACGACAGTCCGGAGTTCAACAA